GCTCGCAGGCTGGCGGCGCCGACAGCGTGCACGCGAACGAGTGGGATTCCTCGACCATGGCCCCAATGGCGCCACGGGAGTTCTCAGAAGGGCATGCCGCGGGAGGAGGGGGCGAATTGCGGAGGATCGCGAGCAGGAGAGTGACTGGCGGTGAACCGCTTACGCCACATAGCCTTCACCACATTTCTGGCACCACATAGACTCACAGATTACACCACACTCTTTCCAGCACGTACGGACTGCACCACAGTGCTTTCGCCGCACAGCTTGCACATCCACAGTGCGAGAGCTCATCCTTTGGGTCCACGCCGGCAGCACCAGAGCGAGGGGGGCCGCACGGCCATTCGTCGTCCCTCGACCCGTGGCTGCAGTGGCCCAGGTTACAGTTTTGCCTGTCGCTGTTCTCTGTTGCTGTCGTCGCCCCCGCGCACGACCCACCCGCGACCCACCCCGCGACCCGCCGGGCGCCCGCTCCCCTCCGTGTTGCCCCACTGCTGCGGGGTGCCAGCTCCCTTCGCGCCCGGAGCCTCGAGCCCCCCCCATTGGCCTCGGGCCCCTCGCGCACGGCATCGCCCGCTCGCGCGGTCGGAGCCTTTGGTTGCAGCACTTTGTTGTCGTCGTCCGTCCGTCCGTCGGTCGTGGTGGTCATCGTCTTTTTCGCCGCTGTCCGCCGTGGTCGTCGTCGTCGTCGCCGTCGCCGTCGCCGTCGTCGTCTTCGCTGCCGTCCTTGCGGCCGTCGTCGTTGTCGTCGTCGTCATCGTCGTCCGTCGGTCGTCGTGGTCATCTTCTTTTGCGCCGTCGTCCTCCGTCCGTCCTCGTCGTCGTCGTCGTTCTCGTCCGTCGTCCGTCGTCCGTCGCCCGTCGCGTCTGTCGTCTGTCGTCCATTCGTCGTCGTGGCGAGGGCACTCGTGATGTCTTGCGGACAGGCGTGCCCTGGCTGTGCGCAGGCCCCCCCCCCGTCTCCCCTATCTGGCGCCGTCGGTCGGCGCCCGTCCAGCGGCGGAGGATGCTCTCGGGAGGAGAAAACACAGAGACCATGAATCGCCGACTCCCAGTGAAAATATGGGAAAGTATGGGAAGTGGGGGGGAAGACGAGAACCCAGAAAATACAGGAAGATGTGGGGGCATCCGGGGATTTGTGTGCATTTATGTTGTGTGTCCTTGGGCGCCTTTATACTCATGCCGTGCTCGGCGTGACGTTCACCCGAGAGGGTGCCAGCACGAGGTCTTGGAGAAGCACAGAAGACATGGACACACACTGTCGGAGCTCTGCGCCGATCCATGAAGTTCGCACGGACCTTCAACCAGTCTACATTGATCCAGTTGCTGCTTGCCCTGACATCGCCCGTGAAATCGCAGATCTCCTCGCGGATGCCACACGCGGTGGTGGTGTTTCTCGGAAGCCCCGCCGCGCCGCCGCCGTGGGCATCCGGAGAACTGCGGAGTTGAAGCCAACAACCGGAGATCTTGTGCTGCTCCTCCATCTCCCCCTCCTCCTCCTCCTCCTCCTCCTCCTCCTCCTTCTCTCCTCCGCCCCCTGCATTGTCTCTCTCTCTCTCTCTTTCCCTTTCTCTCTCTCTCTCTCTCTCTTTGTTCTTTCTCTCCTTTGTTTCCTCCCTTCCCCAGTGGCTTTGACACGTCTCAGGGTTGATTCGCAGCGCCCCACTCTATGCTCCCGGCTTCTGCGTGCAGCTCTCTGACGACTGCAGAGTGGATCGGTAAGGACTGTGAACCTGCGCTGCCGTCGGCCCGAGATCATCATCGATGACAACGCGTGGATACTTCTGCCGCGCGGAAGACGCAGCCGTGTCAAGCCATACTGGCACTCAAGGCACCATCGGACAAGCCGCATCCAGGGCAGGGAGGGGGGCAGCATCCTCCCCCGTGGGGTCGACAGGATTCAGTTGAGCTGTGAAGCGCACCGTGGGGGCCAGCAGGGACCCCGGCACGTGCACAGGAAAGTCCTACCATGGGCTGCGTATCGCGTGTGGGCCAGCCTCGTGTGGCCTCGATGCCGACTGGTGCAGCGTGCCTGCCACGGTCGCCCGATCCAGCTCCGGCGTTCCACCAGCCTTCGGCAGCTCAGCACCGCCTGCGCGCGTAGGGTGCCCGCACGTTGTGCCCTTTTGCTCCACGCCTTCCTCCTTCTGCGCGCGTTCGACCCTTTCCACTCAGCTGTGGCCACACAAACGTGCCGCAGATCGCATCTTGTTCCAGGGCCGTTGCCTCGAGCAGCGCAGTACAGTCGACGCCACGCTGCGGTTGTCGCCCGCTGGGGTATTCCACGTGGCCCTCACCCCCTTGGGGAGACCCCAATGCACACTTCCCATCCGCCTCACACGATGATACTCCCCTCCGACACCACCCTGCAGCACACGCCGTCCTGCCTCGCGCGCGCGGGGGTCGCGCCGCACGGGGGAGCAATGGGGGCGCTCTTCGGTGCTCGTCGTCCTGCCTTCTTGGTGCTTCGGGGGACAGGTCCGCTCCGTGCCTTGCCCGCTCCTGGCGCCACCCGCCCCGTGCGCAGCAGTGGGCGAAGTGCGCGGCGCGGCGGGGCGCAGTGGCACGCAACGCAAACGACGAGCGAAGGCAGAAGGAGGGGGAGGTGCGGGCAGGACTTCTAGCCAGATCCAGGGCGCCTTGGACGGTCTTGGAAGGGGCACCAGTAGGCCAAGGCGTCCTGGATCCGGACAACAATCGAGCCCCTGGGGGTCGGATTTTCCGCATATCCAGTGCGCCTCGGTCTGCTGGGGAAGGGAGCCCGAAACTCCAACGGGGAGGGTGGAGCCGAGTTCGCAATCAGCAGCTTTAGGCTGGTGCACAAGCCGGGCTGAGCTGCAGGCAAGAGGATGCAGCAGACAAAGACCAGCACACAACGCTGGGATGCGTGGTTGCGAGGGCGACGGCATAAAGATTGCAGGAAGAACATCATCATACCCATTCGCATCTACACCACTTTCGTGCCCCAATGTGAGCCTGCTTCTCGTCCCAGGGGACAAGGGAGCCTGCGCCCCCGTTGTGCCGTCGGCCGCGGGACGAGCCTTCCCCCACCGCCGTCTGCCCTCCCTCGGCCCTCGGCCTGGTCGCCCGTCGGCGCTCCAGGCCTCGTCGACCAGGCTCGGCCCCTGGGCCCTCCTCCTCCTCCTCCTCCTCCTCCCTCCCCCTCCTCCTCCTACTCCTCCTACTCCTCCTCCTCCCCCTCCTCCTCCTCCTCCTCCTCCTCCTCCTCCTCCTCCCCCTCCTCCTCCTCCTCCTCCTCCTCCTCCTTCTCCTCCTCCCCCACCTCCTCCTCCTCCTCCTGGTCACCTGCATTCGGGAAGACGCAGACGGCAATTGTGCAGCCTTTTCGCTCGTGTGCAGGAAGGGCTCACGGACATCATCTTCAAGGTCGACCCTGGTCAGATCCGCTTGACCATCAACATCATCCAGATTCAGCTTGCCGAAGCCATCGCCGAGGGCTCTAGACCACGCCCACAGCGTTTGCTGCAACGTGCTCTCACTCAGCTGGCCCATCCTGATCGCCTGTGGCTCACCCTGTCCAAGAGGGTCGCAGCGTGGTTTGGGTCAGATGTTGTCCCTGGCGATCTGCAATACCGCTGGCTCCACGTACGCCAACATCTTTGTCAGATTTCGGCCTCTTGGCGCTGGGCGGTGCTCAAAACCATATGTGGGGGGTGGCATACTACTCACAAGATGCATGTACGGCCCGACAGGACGAGTTGCATCCTGGGCTGCAGTGCAGCTTACGCCATAGCCCATTACCTTCAATGCCCGCGGTTGACTCATCTCACGTGTCTACCCCGCACACTCAAGCATGAGCACCTATTGGCACGTATTGGGCTCGGCGCTCTCTCTGATTACCCATCGGATCCGCATCGTGAGCAGTCTCTCCCGAACACCATCAAGCGCCATGTTCTTGCCTACTACGTCGTCTTCGGGCTGCGTCACACGCACACAGACACCTTGCAAGCCTCGCCCTACGACTCACACCTTCGAGCTCTACGTGCGGCCCGCGATCGGCTTCAGCCCTGTGCAATTCTTACTCCAGTACTAGTGTTTTCTCTGGCTCCGATGACATGGACCACGTGAACCTCCCCAACATGGCTGCGATTGGCGAGTCCCCAATCGCATGCTGGGCCATGACATCACTCCTTCGGAGATAGTCACACAGGGCGGCGACAATGGTTGTGGCGTCGCTGCACCTCACCTTCCTCTGCTTCCAGAAACAACCCCGACACCAGCATCACCTCTACACCATGGAGGTGTTGTACATTATCCGTAGCCATTTTTGCTCAAGCCATTTTGGCTCAAGGCAACATATCGGGGAACCCCCGCCTCGAGTGGTCGAGGTGGGCCTGCGCGCGAGTGCGGTTCTGGAGACGCCCCCAGGACAGGAACCGCCGCATTCCCTTTCACGTTTTTTTCTCTGGCTACACACCACTCAGCATTTTGCCGAGTACCGTACCTTCACTGCTGGCCCTTTCTCCCTCGGCGCGATGACCCGAAAGTCAGTGCGTAAGCTTAGCGATAAGCTTGAAGAGAAGGAGGGTCGTCGTTACCGTCGGGAGCGTCGGGCTGACCCAGTCCGCGAGCGTGATAGCTCCACTTCCTCGGTTGGCCCCCTTCGTCACGTCCCGATCAAGCATCGTCATTCGAGCCGCAGTCGGTCTGGAGGTGCTCCTTCGACTCCGAGTGCGAGTTCGACTGGCTCGAAGATCGACCTGCTCATCGGCAACTTGGAATCCTTGTCCCAGCTGGTGAGCACGCAGTCGTCTTACCTGAGCTGCCTCCAGGATGCGCGCAAGGCATCGGTGGATCGCTGTGCCGCGCTCGCTGACCAGATGACCTTGATGAGCCGTGAGTACAACACCAAGCACCAGGAGTTACAGGCGTCCGTTGCGGCCTCTCTGAATGCGCTTGACTATCGGATGGGCGCCATGGAGCAGGGCGGTGCCGACGCAGCTATGGCTGGCGCGGAGTCGGCTTTGATGGACAAGGTAACGGCGATTGAGGGCTCCTTGTCTGAGCTCGCGCGCCGACAGGCATCATCTGAGAAGTGCATCGCCGA